CGTTTTAACTCGGATTTGATCCGTTCAACTTGTGTTAGGTTCGTAATTCCATAATCTATATGTTCATACTATCGTTAGGTATGTTTTCAACTTTTAAAATTTGAGGTTAGATTTAATCTATTATTTTATTAAAGGAAATCTTGTTTACTTCATAACTTCTTCATTTTAGCTCTGATTTTCGTGATCTTTGTGTCTGTGTGTTCATAGCAAGACGTAGAAATGTTTTACAAACTTTTTATCTTGATTTTATATTATTGGTGTATTGTTCTAATCTATAGTTTTTGTTTGCTATGCATGATTGCTTCTAGATGTTGTTTGTTGCTGTGATTATCGAGTATAGTCATTGAGCAATTCGTGGGTGATCAAGAGTACTACTTTAACAAGCAGGATCAGCAGGAGCACTTTATTCAAGGCAAGTATAGCATGGGATTATCCTTATTTTCTATCAACTTTAATGCATTTAATTCATGTTTGTATGTGTCACATTGATAGGAATTCCTAGAATTGAACTTATACCTTGTCTCCAATAGGATATGCATTGGGTAGATTTGCTAGTGCTCAATTAAACCATGATCTTGTGACTTGACTAATGGTATAGGCAATAAACGTTAAAATATGACTTTTTAGTAACTTGGAAACAGGGGGCTAGAGTGTTTAGCTACTTTCTAAATGCTTCAGATTACTCTCCCTAAGGACTTATCTGTAAGTGATCATCCGAGACTTATAGTATAGTTGTGAGGGCTACATTGCTCTGGCTTTAGCTCAGTTTGAGAACCTTTTCTAGCTTGTTAGTGGTTACCTTTATTGACGTAAGAATGGCTTGTCGAATCGGGTATAGTGCGGCCTCTACCCCCATGAGTATAGGCTATGTGTCAATGTGCCATCGGAAAGGGGGCTCTACATCTGTTTATCGAGTGAATCTAATAGCTCCAACTTGTTAGATGAATCTTTGATAGGCTTCATAGTAAACCATGCCAGCTCACCTTGGAAGTGTTTTTGGGAGTAATTAACCTGGGCGTATGGGTATCATGACTCACAGTAAAAGTGGACAACCTCTACATAGTGTAAAACTGGTATATCAGCCGTGCTCATGGTCACAAGCGGCCTTGGAACATTTATGGAATTATCTGTTTATACTATTTATTATTTTTGTTTACATTGATCATGTGTTTTACTTTGGGATTGAAACAACTTATTGCTACTCTTATGCTAAAATTATGACAGCTAAAAGCTGAATGCTGTTAAACCTGTGTCAAGTCTTTTTGAGCCTCATGAACCCCATGTTACACTTATTGAGTACGACACGTACTTACACTTGTTTATTTTCATTATTTGGATAAAAATTCTCGATGGGTAACAGATGGCTATGGTAATGACGACTTTTCTGATGATTACTAGACTTGTGGTCAAACAGTTGACGTCCCTGCGATATGGAGTTTTCGTGAGAGATTTTTCTTTATACTTTCGCTATATTTATGTGAAGATTATGTCTTATTATTCGTGATGTAATAAACACTTGTGATGATACTATTTATAATTTGTCGACTTATGTGTGTGACTAATCTCTGGGCACATATAAGATTATGCATCCTATTTTATCCTTAAAATCAGATGTGACACTGCCGGTTTTAGCCAAGAACCGACACTGATACTATCACTGTCGATTCGTGACTTGAACCGACAGTGATATGCTGCAAGAAAACTTTATACGTTTCTCATATAATGCCGATGAAGACAAACTTTATATCAAAGTTGTAGTACTCAACGAGATCTACAACTTTATAGTTTAAACTTTTTTAATCGGAGATCGTTTGGATGTCCAAATATTTTCATTTGAAATAATATATCTAACGAAAATTATGTTTGATTTCTAAAATTTAAAATTTAAATTTTTTAAATGACCTCGGATGGAGAAATGCCCAAAACAAAAGTTGTAGTTCTTAAAAAGTTATACAACTTTTTAGTTGAAAACATTTTCATTTGAGATCATTTACTACTTAAAAATGCTGTTTAAAATTAAATTTTAAAATTATTGAAGAACTCTGATTTCTCTTTTTAATCTCTGGCTAAAACTTGTAACTAGTCTTTCCCCCTCATACTAGCTTCAAATCTGATGTTTTTTTCCTAAAAATTTCTAAAATCATGCTATATCAATTTATTAAGTTCTTACCGCTATTATTTTATCCATCTTTTCATGTGATTATGTTTTATCTATTTGAATTTTGAATTTTAAAAAATGACAACTTTAAACGTTATTTTAGAACACTAAATGATTTAACCTGAAAAAGTCATGAACATAGAAGTTGTAGAAATTATAAAGATCTAAAACTTTTATTTTGTTCATTTCTTCATCCGATAAAGTAGTAGTAACATTGTTCACAAAATTTACATCTCTCTGTTATAGTTTCATAAACAATAAGAGAAATATTTAACATTTGTGAATAATGTTACTACCACTATATCAGATAAATAAATGATCAAATCACCAAAATAAAAGTTATACATCTCGAAAAGTTATGAAACTCTGTAGTTCACAACTTTTTGATTAATGAAAATTACTTTTGAATTTTCTAAAATTTAAAATTTAAATTTATAAACGACCTCGGGTGGAGAAAGTACCAAAATAAAAGTTGTAAATCCCAAAAAATTATGAAACTTTGTAGTTGACAACTTTTTGATTTGAAATCATCTTCACAACGAAAACTACGTTTGAATTTTAAAAAATTTAAAATTTGAATTTTTTAAACGACCTCGGATGGACAAACTGTAAAAACAAAAGTTGTAGATCTCAAAAAGTTATGAAACTTTGTAGTTGATAACTTTTTGATTTGAAATCATCTTGTTATAGAAAACTACGTTTGAATTTATTAACCGTGTGGCTGGGGCCTCTCCCGGTATTAAAAAATCTCTATTTTTTCAATATTTTTTTTGACTTTCCTAGAAACCACGTCACTGTCGGTTCACATCAGTGTCGGTTTATAAGAACCGGCAGTGATGTCAAACCCCATCACTGCTGGTATGCCACTGTCGGTTCAAAATCCGGCAGTGAAGGGGGTTTTTGAACCGACAGTGATGTCAAGATCTGAGGTAGTGATATGAGTCTTTTGATTGAATATTTTAGCTATAAAATGATCTCAAATAAAAAATGTTTCAACTACAAAGCTTTGGATCATGTCGAACACTACAACTTATTTGATATAGGTCATGGTTCCATCTGAGGTTACTTAGAAATTCAAAAAATCGAAGTTCAAATTCCAATAACTTAAAATGTATTTTGACATATCTAAACATTCTCAAATAAAAATGTCGTAAACTATAAAGTTTTTAGATCTTGTTGAGCTCTACGGTTTTAATATAAATTTGTCTTTTGTCTGACTTCAATCAAAAAATTATGAATTTATTTATTCTGGAGCTATATTTCTAAAATTGATTTTTAAGGCAATTGACTATGCCTAGAAATACACCCGTTTCAAAGTCAAATGATATAAGACTATAAGAATCTGTCCCTAAAAATATGATTTGTGGGCCAACTGTTTTATGGCAGCTGTCTCTAAAAATAGGTAGATTTCCAGGAATTGCTTTATTAAGCCAACAACCACTAAAAATTGACTTATATGGGTCGGTTCATAAGCTACCGTGCAGCACAATATTCTGCACAATATTTACATAGGCGGTTGTCATGACAATTTATGTTGTAAAAAATTATAATAATTTATTTAATAATTTTTAGTAGTAATAATAATAATAATAATAATAATAATAATAATAATAATAATAATAATAATAATAATATGATGATGATGATGATGAATTCATTTTATAATAATTAATCATAGACTGCTAGTCAAAAGAAACAAAATAAGCCTTGTGATTTCAAATAGAGGGAGTACTAGCTAGAGTGGTATCAGGGTATTTTTCACACGATGGAAGGCACATATACAAGTAGTAATTGTATTTATGTTCCGATTAACATATATAACTGAAATACATGCCTGATCATTATTAAGGAGTTACAATCTATCTGTACTCAAACTAAATTACAATACACCAATTACGAGCGTAAACACTGAAAATTTTATTTATTGGAGACATGGTCACCGCTGACCTGCTATTCTGCTAATGACATTTTCTGAAGGGCTGTTCTATATCGTCCGCATGAAACATGCTATGCCACGATGATAATCTAAAATAGGAAGAGTGAGAATCAATACACTTGCAATAAGAATGTTCCATATTTCACACATGGCTATGAAACTTTGGTACAATATATGTAGCCTAAATAATATATGGCACATAGTTTCCTCAATTCATAGTTATTTTAAAATGTAATGTTCATATTTATAGCATATATACACCTTTTAAACGTTATGACGGAGTAGGTAAGATGATAGACTATTTTGTTGAGCAGCTGTTTTTAAAGCCCATGTATAGCAAGATGGAATTATACATATATTGTCACTAGCTAGCTAGAATAAGGAATTGAAAACTTACTAATGGTTAGAGTTTTTTTAAGAATTTTGCAAGCAGAGAACTAAATCTGAGCAATTTGTTTTGACTTTGCATTCATGAGCACATCATTCATTCGTTTGCATCTCCTTGCATGTTCTATGTAGCAATGTTTTATTATATTGTTAGCAAAAAATATACTAAGCATGGAATTGTTGATTATAGTGCTAGTATGTTAGGTCTATACTTAACTTCAAAAAATATATATAATGTGCCATGACTACAATGCCATTTGATACTTAACTTCATACCTTTTATGTCTCTCTAAGATAAATCTGTATCATTTCTCAACCGAATATATGATTTGGCTGCTAGCTTCATACCATCCTAGACAACAAATTAGAGAAGTGCATGAGCATTTCAATAAAAAAGGAGTTGCACTAACAGAAAAAAGAATCATGAATACAACACCAAGAGAGTTGAAGCTATGAACCATAAGTGTCACAATTGGTTTGTAGCCAAGTTCTTCAACCGCTTTGTTACAACTGAATGTTCTATTGACTGTCAAATATTTGATCCTTGCTGGTGTTAGCACTTGAGGTTGGCACATTCCATAATGGTGTAGAACCTTGCATCCCCACTCTACCAAATAGCTTAGTGCCATGATGACAAGCAAAGGTATTCTTATCTTGAACAACCTACAATAAATTTCCATCATTTAAACAATACAATTAGGTGTATCATGTGTACTCTTAGTTGAAAAATACTCCTATATAATAAAGTAAATAAACTTGTTATCATAACTACTATTATATATATGCATAGTAAAAGTAATTAAATAAATTCTAATTTATATTTGTCACCATTGCATATAAAAGCATATAGTCGGTGTGGTGGGTAATGATGGTTAGTGGCGGTTGGTTCTATATAAGTATCTTCTTGTAAGATCATTTGCATATACATACTTGTAAGATCGCATAGAGGACTGTCCACTTTGTATATATGTGGTTCTTTGTAGCTTAACTCTAGATGTACTTATTATAAAAGTACTATTTGGCAATTGAGTAGCTCAATTATTAGAACTTATAACTTTGAAATCCACTGGACACTGCAATGATATGGGCATCCAGCTAATCATTTAGAAAAAATTAGACATGACGAGGATAGATTAGAATTATAACCCTCATCTCTACATTCTATTTAAAAGGTGTACATTATAGACAAAGGTTATTATAATGAAGAATTCATGAAAAAGTGGACACCCTTGAGACACATAAGAGAACAATGTACAATGCCTATAAATTAATTTATTTATGTAAAAAAGGAAAACAAGTGCAGAAACGATGTAAAAGTTGTTATAAACCACTAATTTTTGCAATGATATGTATACTAAACTTGATAAGGGCCATCAGAGATCAATGTAGTAATTATTCCAAAGGTTCCATAAATTATGCATCAAATTTAACTTCTGATGAAGTAATAAAATATAACCTTGGATAATTAGTTCAAGGTGAGTATTACACAAATTGTGAAGGGCACACGTGAAGGATAGTATGGACATAAATAATATCGTGCACACAATCCACCCCCAACCACCAACCCAGAAAACCCACAAAAATAACACTACATTGAAACCGAGATCTGCAAAGAGGGGATTACTACTTGATTGAAGCATCTAATGCATTATACAAAGTGATGCATGAATAATGGCCCAGTACCAATCAAACATATTTGTTATAGGAGCATGCCAAAGTATCCATTTTGCATACATAACAAGGAGACTCTATTGAAGTATAAAAATATATCCATAGAATATGCACCTTTTGTATCCAAGTTCTTCTTGAAGCAGATACAGAAAGTCCCACATATTCATTGGCTCCGTATTGGTTATAAAGTAGGCCTAAAAATTTTAAATATGTCATGATGTTTGTTGCACAAGTCAAAGTTTGCCATAGAGTTGAAAGAAACATACTTTTCCACCACTGATTTTTGCACCCTCCATAGTAGAAAGAGTTTTTTCAGCACAAATGTGACCATGTACCACATTTTCAACATAAACAAAATCATCACAATTCTTCCCATCACCAAAAATAAACTGCATTAATATAGAGCTGGTAAGACCAGTATATAGATGGATCCTAAAATTTTGTATAATGGATTAACAATGCTTATTATAGATTGATAAGTATGTTTTGCTTTTAAGTTATTTGCTCTTCATTTGGTACTAGTAATGCCTCACAATACCAAATTCACAAGATTGCCCTAGCTCAGCCACATGAGCATTAATTTGAAAATTTGGCCACTTAAATAAGGTTTGCTTCCATAGTAGATTCATGTAAGGCCAATAACATAAACTCCAATTGATAAATTCTGCAATAAAAATGATTACAATGTGTAATTTTTTTTTGGTTGTACCATTTCTCGTAAATAGAACTTTTTTGCCTATTTATGTCAAGAGTATTCCTGCACACTTATTCAGTGATGCATAGCATTGGTTTCAAAAAGATCTATGCCAAATATTATAACCATTATTTTCTTATGCCTTTTCTAATAAATTTATTCCTTCAAAATAAATTACTAGTTAGTTCTCTAATGTTAAACATGCATATGCTTCCTTACGTGTGTTTTTCCACACTGGTCCAGAGTTGGTAGTATAACTATGTCACCTGGGCCAAAAATGCTACCAGGACGTATGCAACAAGTTAGAAGGTCATTAATGCCATTAGCCTTCATGACTAACTTTTCTGCTTCTGCCTTTGTTTGTCCATATGCATCAGGAAACTACGCCAATAAAAAGAACATATAGTCAGAAAATATATTTTCATAACATGTGTAGATCGATGGATCAATATTTAAACTGAATTAGTATAGGCAAGCATGCCAAAAAAAAAAACGTCTCTGTCAATGGTTCACTTTGTCATCTTCTTCTAAACCACTTCTAGAAGAGAAGTGATGTAATATATTTGGAGGTAGCATAAACATTAAGTGCCTAACAGATTGAGTAGTCAATATATTTCCAAGCAACCTTGTCTGGGTATGGCAATGATTCATTTGCATCGAGAAGCCCATGAACTCCGTCGAACACAACAGCGATAGAGCTGGTGTGTATAAGCCTTTTCACCTTGCAAGTCATACACGCATCAACCACATTCCTTGTCCCTGTGCAAATAGGATATAAATGAAAAGCTAAATAGTAAAACTAACTTCCATTATGTTACTCTTATAAATTAAATGATAGCATATTTATCCTCCCGGGCATTGTGCTTAAGAAGAGTAAGGATTTCTAAGAATCCACCTATGCAATCTGGTTAAAACAGCCATTCATGGGAAGGATTATCCCAAAATTTTAGCCAATCAAGAGTTGTCCTAGCTATTTAATGAGCATGATGTCTTAGTCTGTCCTAAAATTGCAGGAGTCCTTATATTTTTGGACGAGGGGAGTATATGTGTAGTAGTACAAATCTTAATTAGGAATGAGTTTATACAAAATACACATCGGAATGGATTGGAAGGATGGAAACTTATGTTTTGACACAATCTATTCTTTATTGAATGTATATTATTAGTCCTTTTAACAACTCTCAAATGATAAACAACGAATAAGGGTTCCTATGAAGAATGGATGTACCTCACCAATCCTTACCGGCATTTATACTACTTCCTCCGTCCTAAATTATAAGATATTTTGCCATTTCTAGATTCATAGCTTCTACTATGTATCTAGACATATATCTAGGTGCGTAGCAAAAGCTATGAATCTATAAAAGCCAAAATATCTTATAATTTGGAATTAAGGGAGTAGATAAAAAAATAACCTTGTGAAACATTGTGCTCTGAACTTAATAGTGTACCATGTTAGAGTGAAAGATTATATAGGTAGAACTAATTACATATTGAGTAGCGAGCTTATCATTTAATTAGTGTCAAGGTGCTCTTAGAATAATTCTTCGACTGACCCTCAACGTTGACCTTATAGTGAAGTTGCAGGTTGTTCTTGCTTGGATCCGCAGCAGCTGTGTGGAAAACAACCTCAACCCCTTCAAAAGCTGAATACAAGAAAAAACAATCAAATTTCAGGTACATGAATAGTCGTCGCGTTCATCGATATTACTATTCGCTTTTATTATTCATATGTGTCTATCGCACTTTGCATCGCATTATGAAATGTCACATATGCACATATATATATTTCAAACAACATGCAAATGCATAACTACTAGTAATATCATAACTTTTGATTGGTACTACAAGTCTTGCGAAGTACCACACAACATTTGGTCTGATGAATGAACACATAGTAGATGGAAGGTTCATCTCATGAACTTCAATAGATTGATTATTCAATTTGCATGTTCATAATCTCTGTGCATGCACTTGAGGAGTGAGGTGGTGGTCATGTATTAACCCTTTCTAATCCTGAAAAAAGCACGGATGACTATTACTCTAGCAAAACTCGTATCCTATTTTGTACTTCCTCCGCTCCAAATTATAAGATGTTTTGGTTTTTTCAAGATTTATTGCTTTTTATTATATATCTAGACATAGTGTATTTTTAAGTGCATAACAAAAACCATATATCTAGAAAGGCCAAAACGTCTTATAATAATTTGGAATGGAGGGAACATATATAAGCATAGCCAACTAGCTAGGTGCGTGATGTTTATATATTTTCTCTTGCAGAATCTGAGGGGAGAAAGCCTTAACTGTGATTAAAAGAACCAACTCCTACTCCTACAGAGGGTTCTAACTTTCTAGAGAGAGCATCATATCAGTGCACTACTATTAGATTGTTGAAGAACAGTGGAAGGAGCTAGCAACTGGCGGTGCAAGACGAAGAGCAGTCGTCGCTGAAGGAAAGATGATTTGTCTCTCGTCCTTAACAAATGGCCGTCCCGATAGTAAGGTCATGCCGCTGAATAAATGGCATTTATCAGCACTGGCAAGAGGGCAAGAGCACACTGATTATATTTTCGTCACCTTTAATAAGCTGGTCCAGGTTGCAGACATCCGCTGAGGCATAGACGGCACGGCCATCACGGAGGGCGTCATCGAGGACGTCCTCGGTGTCGCCGAGGCCGAGCATGGCATCCGGGGCGAGGTCGGTGACCCGCACATGCCACTCGCCGGAGCGGAGCAACGCGGCCACCAGGTGCCTCGCCATGAAGCCCCGGCCGCCGGTCACCGCGCACCACCTCTTCCCAGCTGGCCGCGGGCCACTACTGTCGCTGTTGCAATCACGAAGCGACCCCATTCGATCAGGGAAGTGATGATGATATAAATAAAGTGGCTCGATCGATCGATCGATATTTAGCATGTCCAGGGCTTTGCCCTTGCACGTATATTTATAGCCGCCGGGCCGGGACCTGTCCCTGGTCGATCTAGAAATATATTTGCTCGAGCTAAAATGGATAAGCTTAGAAACTTGGATCTATACTATACCCAGCCGCCGCCAGTCACCACACGACTGCATCTGCATTGCCGCTGTGGAAGCACCAGCTGCACCGACGCTTTGGGCCACGTTTAGTTGCACCGAATTGGTGCCGGCAAATTCACTGTAGCGCCACAAGAAGCACTGTAGCATTTCGTTTGTATTTGGTAATAATTGTCCAATTGTTGACTAATTAGGCTCAAAACGTTCGTCTCGCAAAGTACAACCAAACTGTGCAATTAGTTTTTGATTTCGTCAACATTTAGTACTCCATGCATGTACCGCAAGTTTGATGTGATAGGGAATCTTCTTTTTGCATAGTGTTAAAATTGGAAATTTACAAGGAACTAAACACACCCCAGTTTGTACGCCAGCGAGAGCTGCAGTCTGCACTGACGCTAGCTCTAGCTAGCTTGGCTGGGTGCTTGATTGACGTGCTACGAGCCGGACGGCACCGCTAATAACTAGCTTCTTGCTTGCGCAGAACCTGACGCTATACACCGACGAGGGGCTAGTCCAAACCCGCGCGCCATGCATGACGCCCGACTGTCTCTCCACGTAGCCCGTCCATGCGTCACAGCCTGCGAGAGTCCGGATCATACACCGTCTCACGCTAAAGGTTATCAGGCCGAGTTGCTATTGCTACCGAGATGTGTGTCGTCGTCTATATGTATATATCTCTACTCTATATCTATCTACATTTAAAAAAAACTGTAATGTCAATGTCTACCCGATGATACCAAGTCGATCCGGTCTACCCATATATATACTCTTCTATTTTACATTAAAAAAGAATGTAATGTTATTGCCTATCTGATAATACCAAGTCCCACACCTACCCGTATATACTATCAAAAAACTCCTCGGCGTCGTTGCCCACTCCCTGTGCCCTATCTCGCAATCTTAACTATCACATCCGTCCCAAAATAGATGACGCGTTTGACTTTCATAGATATCACATTTGACTATTTATTTTATTCAGTGTTTTGTGTAAATAATAAAATAGATAAGTCACTAACAAAATAAATAACATTTATAAAAAAATCAAATAAAACAAACGGTCAAACAAGATATCTATATATAAGTAAAAAAACGTCATGTATTTTAGACCAGTACATCCGCTCGCCTGCTCTCCCGAGTGCCGATGCGACCCGCCCTCCGCGGTCGTGCAATTCGGCCGCCGCCGCCGCTCGGATTCCGCGGATCAGCCCTCAGATTCTTGCTCCCAACGCCTGCTGCTGCTGTTCCATAACCGCTGTCATTCCACCAGCCTCTTCGCCCCTAATCGGTGCGGTACGGTGGTGCGTTAGCAAGAAGAAGCTGCGTTTGCAAGGCGGGCCACGCCGAGGTGTCCAATTTTTTTTACAATTTAGCTCTTTTTTAAAAGAAAATTTACGTTTAGCCTCTTAAAAGAAGTAAACTCATCTTTAGACCTGAAGTCGACATCAAAACTCATGGTACTGAGATAACACATCTCAGCGCTACGTATTTTAACTCCAAGGTGTCTGATCAAAATTGTAGATGCCGCGTGGATAACCAACCGGAACTTCTCGTCGGCGTCTGTCACTTTGTCTTATTTTAATTCAAAAGCTAGTGTGCAGCGGTGCCCTTCTTCTGTCAGCGTCGGGATGGAGAAGCCGCACCATGTGCGTGTCAGCGCGTCCCACGTGCATGTAGCAGTGCACTTTTAATGCTCTTTTAATGCTCGATGAGGGAGAAGCCGCACCATGTGCGTGTCGCGTGTAGCAGTGCACTTTTAATGCTCGATGAGGGCGTTGCCCCCAAACAACATCACGTCATGGCTTGTTGAGAATTCTGCAGCATCATCGGTTGGCTGATTCGTTTCGTTGCTGGTTCGTGAGAAAGTACTGCTGGTTAGTTTGTATAAGAGAAAAATATTGTTCCGGCTAAAAATTTACGATCGTTTACGATAAGCCACAGCCAAACGAACAGGCTGATGATGTTTACATGCCTTCATGGAGGCTTATAGTTTCACAAAATTTTGTAGCCAATCAGATGAGTGATGCAATGCAAATTTTTGTTTTGACATGCCCACAGCCATGCATTTTGCAGTTAAATCTGCAGTAGGCACTAAGCCATAGCTTTGTAGCATAGAAATATTCGTCATGTCATGGCTTTTTAAACACTCCCATTCAATTATTTTGGATACATCAATGGGGACAAAAAACTTCAGTCTGATCTTTCCCTAAATATTGGATTCAGCTATGACAGTCTTTTCTATGTGTAATGCGTTTCTATGGGAGGGGGTCCTACCATTGTCAATTGAAAGGTTTGGCCATTGAGAAGGAACCTTCATTGCTTAATATTCATGTGTAAACGCACATCCTTCACATAGCAAAACAGAGAACAAGATTAGTTGCTTTTTTTAATAAGACTGGAGCAGAGCTCCTTTTTTCTTTCAATTTCAAATCATGCCAGATTGCTGGCAAAAAAAATCAAAAGTCCTTAACCTCCATCCCATTTCTGTGCTGTATAGAAAATCAAAAGTTGTAAAGAATGCTGGATGGCAAATTTGATTGGCCAAGTACTGCTACGAAAGTGTAGCTGCAAATCTAAAAAAGAAGAATATGTATTGAGTCCATTCTCAGTTAATCTCTTACACTGCAGGCAATACAAAACACAATGCAAAACTGCACACAAATGCAGCATTCTAACCGGTTCAGATGCTCCGTTCCGCACCACGACATGCAAGTGCCGACAGGTTACATTACTAGCCTCAAAGCACACGCACATACATCACCTCTCCCATCCGCCGCTGGCGTAGCCTTGGGAGTGTTTAGTTCGCACCAAATTCTAAACTTTGACACTGTAAAAAAAAAGATTTCGTCACATATTAAATTTGCGGTACATGCATGGAGTACCAAATGTTGACGAAATCAAAAACTAATTGCACAGTTTGGTTGTACTTTGCGAGACGAACGTTTCGAGCCTAATTAGTCAACGATTAGGCAATTATTATTAAATAAAAACAAACGCTACTGTAGCTACAGTACATTCGGCGGCGCCGATTCGAGCAAACTAAACGAGGCCCTGGAGTTCCGCCGCTGGCGTAGCCGCCGTCGTGCGCCTGGGGCACGGCCCCCACCGCGCGGCGCTGCGGCTGCACCTGCCCTACAATCAAGGTCTGGTTTAGATTTCAAGTTTTTTCACTCTTTTTGCTGTTATATTAAATTTTTGATACATATATGAGTATTAAATGTAGATAAAAAAATAACTAATTACATAGTTTAATTGTAAATTATGAGACGAATCTTTTGAGTATAGTTAAGCCATGATTGAACAATAATTGTTAAATACAAACGAAAATACTACAGTGCCAAATACTGATTGCTAACCCTAGTCTAAACAAGGCCCAAACTGTATTTTCTTTCTTTGACTAGGCCCGAGTTGCTGGAATCGGCGCCGTCGAAATACCGTAGCTTACTGTAGTGCACGGTAGCATTTTTGTTTGTATTTGTGTAGCGCATTGTTGTATTTCGGTTGTATTTGGTAATAATTGTCCAATTATTGACTAATTAGGTTCAAAACGTTCGTCTCGCAAAGTACAACCAAACTGTGCAATTAATTTTTGATTTCGTCAACATTTAGTACTCCATGCATATACCACAAGTTTAATGTGACAGAAAATCTTTTTTTTTATAATACCAAAGTTTGGATTTTTGAGTACCTAGACCCCCTAGGACACGAGAGAGAGGACAGAAGAGGAGAGAGAGAAGGGCCGGGGGCCTGGCGCTGGCCGGCGGTGGGCTGTCCAATAGCTGACTTTATTTACCGGACTGCTAGTGTGTGGCGTCAACCTCGGCGCTATGTATTATTGTATCGAGATACCGGTCACGTCAACGTCATCTAGATATCCTGTTATGCTCGGGCAGGCACCTCGAAGTCAAAAATCTATAGCGCCGAGACGTGTTACCTCGGCGCCATGAGTTCTAGCGCCGACCCCTTGGGTCAAAGATGAGTTTACGTCTCTTAAAAGGCTAAACATAAATTTTTTTTACGTAAATTTTCTTTAAAAAAAACTAAATTGTAAAAAATTGGGCCGAGGTGGTGGAGCTACGGACTGTTGATGCCGTTGTGGACGACCTTGGCGGCCGCGTCATCGCCGACCATGCGTATCGCTACCACGCGCGCCGGCCTGAGCCCCTACACGCATCACCACCCAGGTGCACACGATGACACGATGACACGAGTAGGTTTTCATTACCAGAAATAAAAATTTATCGAAGGTCATGGATAAATAGGATAAACAGGATATATAAGAAATATCAGATCAAATTTAAAAAATTCAAACTATTTTGAAAAAAAATTCATAGAATTTAACTAGAAACTATTCCTAGGTTATTAAACATCACTTCTTCACTGATAAAAACAAGAATAAAACATTATAAGTGCGGGATTGTGGTGCAGATGAATTTGGACCGTCTGTGTGGGAGAAGGAAAAACCCGAAAAATTTAGCCAATATCTAATTTTATCGTACTCCACAGATAAAACAGAAATTTCAAAAAATTCGATGAATTTCGGCCAATAAAGAAAACACCGCCACTTGTACAGGGACCACTACTACACCCCTGGTGCGCGCCTCACTTTTACAGGGGCGCCGGTGGATACCCGACGTAGTACCATCAGGCAGCAGCACGATTGCTTGTACTTGTACCACCCGGTGGCCGCGAAGACGCACACGATGGTGCACCACGAGTACACGAGCAATCCC